TGGAGGGTGCTAAGAATCGCTACAAGCGTGGCAATAAGGCTCAGGCAGGCTCCAGCAACTCTCAGAATACCTCTCAGCAGCCCAAATCTTCGCCCAACAATGCCAATTCATCTACTGTGGTCACTGAATCAGCTGGGAATGCAAGTCTTCGTTCCATTCATCCCTCTGATCCTCATTGCCCTCTCCAACTTGATGCTGACATTGATTGGAATGCAGACACAGGCGCCACTTCTCATATGACACCTCATCGTCATTGGATGCACCACTATACCCCATATCGTGTGCTAATCAAGCTGGCTGATCACACTGTTGTCTATTCAGCTGGTGTTGGTACTGTGGTGTTTAATCCTGTGATGAATGGCAAAGTGGCTAGGGCTGTGGAATTCTCTAGAGTGCTCCATGTACCAGATCTTCGAAATAATCTCCTCTCAGTCTTGTATTTAACTCGTCAAAGTGGTTTCAATGTCACTATTTCGTCTCATTCCATGTCCTTTATGCGTGACAACACTCTCTTGTTCACTGCAACTATCAATAACAACAATGCAGCATTCCTTGATGGATCTACTGCTGCTTGTGTTGAATTGGGACATTTTACTGCAACTATACCACTTGATTTGATGCTCTGGCATCGCAGATTGGCTCACCACCATCATGCTGATGTCAAGAGACTGATACAGAGAGATCTGGTCACTGGGCTTACACTGGAATCCAAGGCTGCTCCTGATCCTGTCTGTGAACCATGCTTGTCTGGCAAGATGCATGCCAATCCATTCCCCTCATCTGATACTCACTCTGCTCATCCTTTGGACCTCATCCATTCTGATGTACACCAAGTCTCTTCCCCCACATTCTCTGGTTATCGCTACTGGGTCACCTTCATTGACGATCACAGTCGATTCCGTGTTGTTGTGCCTCTTAAGGCCAAGTCAGATGTCTTTGATGCTTTCAAGAGATTCAAGGCTTATGCTGAGACTCAATTGGAGCGTAAAATCAAGGCTCTGCACGATAACAAAGGGGGAGAGTACATGTCCAAGGAATTTGAGCAATTCACAGATGACCATGGGATTGTCAGACAGCATACCACCAGGAATTGTCCTCAGCAGAATGGTGTGGCAGAGCGAGCAAACAGACTTCTGACTGAGCGTATCACTGCCATGTTATCAGAGTCTGCATTGCCTAACAGCTTCTGGGGTGAATGTCTGTCCGCTTTGGTGCATGTCTGGAACAGGTGTCCCACTGATGCAGTGGCCCATGCCACTCCATTTGAGTTGTGGTATGGACACAAGCCTGACATGTCTCACCTTCGCGTTTGGGGCTGCACTGCCTATGTGCATGTGCAAAAGGACAAAAGAGGCGTCTTTGGCTCTCATATGGAGAAATGCGTGTTCATTGGTTACCTTGAGGGGTACAAGGGATGGAAATTCTACAATCCTACCACCAAGCGCACTGTTATCTCTGAGAGAGCTGATTTTGATGAGCGCTACTTCCCTGGCTTGAAGAGGTCTTCTGACAATGTCCCACCTCCACCTCCCACTCCACCTTCGCTATCCATGCCATTGGGCCTGATTGAGGATGTCCCTGCACCAGGTCCAGGGGGAGATATGGGCCCACCAGCTGCACTTCAGCAGCCTCAGCCATTGCCTGACAATGGGCCTCATTTGGACCTTGATGCAAAACCACCTGTGAATCAACCTCCTGAGCTTCCAAATCACCCTCCTCATCGCTCACCTTCTCCTGACTTGCCTATTGCACTGAGACGCCCTGTAAGGGCTAGGAGACCACCTGAACCATGGTGGCTTCAACACAGACAACCTACTCCTGCCATTGAGAGTGATGACAGTGATTCTGAGGCAGTTGATGATGAAGTAGCACACTTTGGAGACTCTGCTGAGCCTAGGTCGTTTGCAGATGCAATGAAGCGTCCTGATGCAGATAAATGGAGAGAGGCAGCCATGGAAGAGCTTCAAGCTCATGAGCGCAATGGTACTTGGTCACTAGTGGAACTACCTCCTGGAGTCAAGGCTATTGGTGGCAAGTGGGTCTTCAAGATCAAGCGCAACTCAGATGGCACTGTTGAGCGCTACAAGGCCAGATATGTGGCCAAAGGTTATAACCAGCGCCCTGGCTTTGATTTCCTCGAAATATTTGCACCTACTGTCCGCATATCATCCATCAGAGTTGTCCTTGCCATTGCAGCCATCCACAACCTCCATTTTTGCTCCATTGACATTTCCCATGCATTCCTGAATGGAGTCATGGATGTCAAGGTCTACATGCATCAGCCAGAGGGATTCCATCAGGGTCCTCGCAATCTTGTTTGCCAGTTGGACAAGGCCATCTATGGGACAAAGCAGGGAGGCAGAATGTGGAACCAGAAGATGCACGCTGTGCTTGAAAAACTCGGATTTAAGCGTACTTATTCAGACTCTGCCATCTATGTCTTTAACAGAGCTGATGTGCGCATTATCCTGCCCGTCTTTGTTGATGACATGACACTGGCATCCACTTCTACTTCTGCACTTGACCAAGCTGTCAAGGACCTCTCCCTGCACTTTAAGCTTCGTGATCTTGGCCCTACTTCTTACCTACTTGGCATTTCCATCACTAGAGACCTAAGTAATTGCACCATCTCCCTCTCCCAACATCAGTACACTCTGGACATTCTGGAGCACTTTGGCATGAAGGACTGCAAGCCTGTGTCCACTCCCATGGATCCTGGTTTGCGCCTCACCAAGGACATGTCTCCCAAAACATCCAGTGATGCTGCTTTGATGAAGGACATTCCCTACCTTGCTGCTGTTGGTGCTCTGATGTATCTGGCCACTACCACTCGTCCTGACATTGCCTACACTGTTGGAGTCCTTGCCAGATATAACTCTAATCCTGGTCTTACTCACTGGAGCGCTGTCAAGCACTTGTTCCGCTACTTGCAAGGCACCCTTGATCATTCCCTTGTCCTTGGTCCTGATCCCAATTCCACTGAACTCTTCACCACTTTCTCTGATGCTGATCATGGTGGTGACAAGGACTCTGGTCGTTCTACTGGTGCCTATATTGTCAAGATGGGATCTGGTGCTATCTCCTGGAGCTCCAAGCTTCAGAACATTGTTGCTCTGTCCACCACTGAAGCAGAATACATTGCTGCTGTTGAGGCTGGAAAAGAGATTTGCTGGATGCGAAATTTGTTGAAGGAAATGGGCTATCCTATCACCTCTCCTTCCACCCTTCATATTGACAACCAATCTGCCATCTCTGTATCCAAGAACCCTGAGCACCATGGTCGGATGAAACACCTTGATCTGCGATGACATTGGTTGAGAGATGTTGTTGACTCTGGGCAGATTGCTCCTACCTTTGTTCCCACTGCTGAAATGCCTGCAGACTTGTTGACCAAGGCTCTTGCCAAGCCTAAAGTGGAAGTGTTCAGGAAGATGATGGGACTTATTAGATCAGGGGGGAGCTGATGCTTGGGAGGTGCAGCATCAGGGGGGAGTGTTAGTTTTGGTGATTCTGCACCTTTGTGCTACCCATATATTTTCATTACTTTCTCTATCTATTCTTCTATCATTCACTATTGATTGTGTTCTCTATTATTTCGCCTTTGTGGCTGCTTTGTTTACCTTTGTTTACAAAACTTCGGACAGTATTGCAGAGTCCAATGCTTCCTATTCTCTAGTTACTCACATTGGACTCTAGGTACTGTATACCTGTCATACTCTCTAATAATAAAGTTACTCACATTGGACTCTAGTTCCAGTCCCTGATTGCTCTCAGCAAGTGGCTAGACACTTCCTTCAAGCTTTGTTCTTAATAGTTTACACTTACAAAGCTAGACTCCTAAGATCAGACTTCTGCTCAGAAGAAGACCAACTCTCGTTGGAAGAACTCCACTCAGAACTATGTTCTCAAACTTGTCTTTGGATAAGTCTCTTTACAAACCTCGGCGAACCCTCAGACTTTGTTAAGCACTTTGTGCGTAACACATTACATCCGCAGACTGATGGACAAATGGAGAGGCTCAATCAAGAATTGAAGCAATACCTCCGAATATTTATTAACGATAGACAGACGGATTGGGCCAAGTGGCTAAAGATAGCCCAGTTCTCATATAATATTAAACAGTCGTTGGCTACAGAAAAGGCACCATTTGAGGTGACTAGATCATACCTCCCCAGAATGGGTGTAGAACCTGGTAAAAGCAAGAACAAGGCTGCTGAGAACATGGTCAAAGACATGAAGTCTGTCTTGGACAAAACACGCAAGGCGCTATTTGAAACTGCAGAGCAGATGAAAGACAGGGCAGAGCGAAGACGCTCTAAGGCCCCTGACTACAAGGTCGGCGACCTGGTCTGGTTAGATACCGAGCACTGAAAGTTAAAAGATCAGCAGTCTAGAAAACTGACCGAAAAGTGGATTGGGCCTTACCAGATTAAGGAAGTCAAACCCAATTGTTACGATCTCTATTGGACATTTAAGGACTACTCATTTCTTTTTACTCATCAGTTATACCATCGGACCGATGACTCATTTCCTTCACGTATACTTCCGTTCCTCTCGCATTCGCAGTACCTATTATAGTACTTAGTCCTCAACGGACAGACCTGCCCTAGATAGGACCTAACTCCTATCACCGATTCCTTTCTATTATAAATATCATGTAACAGCAGTAGTATACTCCAATACAATTCTACACAGTTTATGCTTACAAAGCTAGACTCCTAAGATCAGACTTCTACTCAGAAGAAGACCAACTCTCGTTGGAAGACCTCCACTCAAAACTACATTCTCGAACTTGTCTTCGGATAAGTCTCTTTATAAAACCTCGACGAACCCTCAGACTTTGTTAAGCACTTCGTGCGTAACAAAAGAATCATATTCTAACCAGAAGTCCCACCTATTTAGGTTTGGGAAGAAAAGTCGACAAGACGTCGCAACAACCAACAACCAGATCCCAGAGAGCAAGAGAAAGCTCAGACAACCCACAAACAGCAACCCCACCAATGTCATCCCAACAAGAAAGGATAGCAGCACCACCTCCCTTTCCCCAACCAGACGTAACCCGACTCCACACCAGAGAACAAGCAGACGCTTTCTACGAAGCCAGAACACGTTGGCTACAGTACTACGCAGGAAGCCACCCACAGCTACTGCCCACAACCCAACACGATCCCCCAGTAACCATAGAAAACCTCTACGACGAGAACAACTTTGAAGAGTTTGAAGAGTTTGCAGCAGGCGGCGACCCGATACCACCTCCCACTCTACAGATACTCCCCGCCGCACCTGCTCCATCCCACATCCCACCACCACACACCATGTCTAACACTGCAGCCCCCAAACCCACGATGATCAGGAAAATCGATGACTTCAATGGAACCCCAGATAAAGCCCAAAGGTGGATATCGTCCACCAATCTACACTTTGATATCAACAACACCATCTACAACTCCGACAAGAAAAAGGTGTATGTGGCCCTCAGCTACATGAAGGACGGCAACACCACCTCATGGAGTGAAGCCAAGATGACCGAATACAAAGAGAAGAATGCCTACCCCACATGGGCAGACTTCATGAAAACCTTCACAGCCAGTTTCAGAACGGCAAACGTCAAAGGAACGGCCTCAGCCGCCTTGATGAAAATGAAGATGGAACAAGGAGAAAATGCAGTAGCGTTTAACTCAAGGTTCATGCTAGATGCTGGGAAAAGCGGCATCAACAATGAAGCCATGATCATGGTTTATCAAAAGGCTATCCGGCCACCCCTCCTTCGCGGGGCACTCACCGGAAAGGAACTACTCACCATCGAAGACTGGATGAGCACAGTGGCAAACCTAGACGCTAACTGGATCAGTGCCAACGCTATCTCAGAAGGAGCGTGGGGCGCCAGAAATAAAGAAAGACAGAATGACAGAAACCGCAAAAATGGACTATCCACTAGCACCAGAAGGTTAACCAAAGACGAAGAAGAATCAAGGAGGAAAGAGGGAAGATGCTTCATATGTAACGAGAAAGGACACATAGGAAGGAATTGTAGGTACAAAGGAAAAACTCCTGAAAGAAAGGTACGTCAAACCGAAACGGAAGATGACACCAAAACAGTGGTAGAAGAAGACAGGGTCCAAAACATCATGAGGATGTGGAGGGAGTTAGGAGAAGATCAAAGAACAGAGGCGATGAAAGAATTGGAAGACAAGGGTTTTTAAAACGACGGACTACCCCGATGTTAGTACCGTCAAAAATGGCAACTGTAACAATAGCAACAATCAATGCCAACTCTTTACGAATCGATTGCTCGTTGAAACAGAAAACCATCGGAACCAAAGCCCTGATAGATTCAGGAGCTACAGATGACTTCATGGACACCAAATTTGCCATCAGACACCGACTCCCCCTCCAAAAACTCCCAACTCCTATAACATGTAAAAATGTTGACGGAACCACGAACAAAAACGGAAAAATTACGCATTGCACCTATCAGAGGATAGATGCAGGAGGACAAAACAGGTTCACAAAGTTCCTATTGACCGGACTAGACAGAGAAGACGTATTACTGGGATTTCCCTGGTTATGAAAAGTCAATCCCGTCATTAACTGGAAAGACAAGGAATTACCAAACTCGGACAAACACTCCATCAGGATGAACCAAACAACCACGGAAACAAAAATTAGGACAACCGCAGTAAACGAAGACGTGTATGAAACCATTCATAGATACATATCCGACCAAACACCCTATCCTCGAACCATGATTCAATTGAAGATCAACTCGGCAATGGAACACGCGCAAATACACGGAGAAAAGAAGGAGCATAACCTCCCGAATGAATATAAAGGGTATTTGGACGTCTTTGACAAAAAGAAGTCGGAAAGACGCCCCAAGCGACAGGAATATGATCATGCAATCAACATGAAACCAGAATTCGTACCAACAGATTGCAAGTTATACCCATTGGCACCAAAGGAAGACGAAGCATTAATGGAGTTCTTAACGGAAAACTACAGAAAGGGATACATCAGGCCGAGCAAGTCGCCACAGGTGTCCCCTTTCTTCTTCATCGGCAAGAAGGATGGATCACTCTGACCGTGCCAAGATTACAGAAAACTGAACGCATATACCGTGAAAGACCCCTATCCACTACCCCTGATACCCGACCTCATCGAAAAATTGAAAGGAGCCACCATCTTTACGAAACTAGATCTACGTTGGGGATACAACAACGTAAGGATAAAAGAAGGAGACGAATGGAAAGCTGTGTTTAAAACCAGCAAGGGAGTGTTCGAACCAACGGTCATGTTCTTCGGCATGTGCAATTCACCGGCAACATTCCAAAGGCTGATGAACGACAAATTCAAAGACTACATTGATGAAGGTTGGATGATCATATACATGGATGACATTCTCATCTTTGACACGAACATCGAAAGACTCCGAATCCGAACGAAACAGGTTCTACAAAGACTACGCGATAACGACCTATTCCTAAAACTAGAAAAATGCACCTTCAAAGCGGAAACCATTGAATACTTAGGAATGATTGTTTCCCACAATCAGGTATCGATGGATCCAGCCAAACTCGCTGGGATCCGCGATTGGCCAATCCCGAAAGACACCAAAGGCGTAAGGAAGTTCTTAGGTTACAGAAACTTCTACAGGAAGTTTATCGGTCATTACTCTGACCTTGCCAGACCCTTGAATGCCTTACTAGAAAAGGATAGGAAGTGGAACTGGACCCAAACTGAAGACGACACTTTCAAATTGATGAAACAAAAATTCCTTGAATCCCCCGTAACACAAAGTCCCGACTCCTCAAAACCGTCAAAGATTGCTGCAGACGCCAGCAAACACGCCACAGGAGCTGTATTAATGCAACCCGATGACCAAGGACAATGGCACCCATGTGCATTTTTCTCCAAAACTCTATCCCCCGCTGAAAAGAACTACCAGATCTACGACAAAGAGTTATTAGCGGTAATGAGAGCTTTAAAAGAATGGAAACACCTACTTTTGGGAAGCCCCCACACGATCCAAATCCTGACAGATCACAAGAACCTGACGTACTGGCAAGAAGCCAGGAAACTCACACCGCGACAAAGAAGATGGCAGCTGGAACTGTCACAATACAATTACACCTTGGAGCACGTACCAGGAACCCACATGGTGGTACCCGACGCACTCTCAAGAAGACCTGATTTATACGTCGAAACAGAAGGAGACAACGATGACACACCAATGATACCCGCCTCAGTGTTCCTGTATCACACACAAACGATTAAAAACACAGTCGAACAAGCCATGCTCACAAACGATAATTATCCAGGAAGAACAAAGAAAGATGATTGGAGAAAAGAAGAAGGACAGTTCTTTTATCAAAATAAATTACTGATTGACGAAGTAGAAGAACAAAAAACGATCATCAAAGATCACCATGATTCCCTGTCTGCAGGACACCCAGGTAGGCTCAAAACCTACCAGTTGATCAAAAAGGCCTATTGGTGGCCAGGAATGATGAAACAAGTGGAAGAATACGTGAAAGGATGCGCAACTTGTCAACAAGTGAAAGTAAACACGCATCCCACCACCGTACCATTAATCCCAAACCAGACCCCAAAAACCACAGAACCAATGAAGTACCTATCTGTAGACTTCATAACTGATTTACCAGAATCTTCAGGATACGACAGTATAATGGTCATGGTAGACCAAGGACTTAGTAAGGGGGTAATCCTCTCACCTTGTCATAAAACCATCGACGCACTCGAAACCACACGAATCTTTCACGATTCCATCTTCAAACGATTCGGATTGCACGATAAACTCATATCCGACAGGGGACCACAGTTCGCCTCGGAAGTATCCAAAGAACTCCACAAACTCCTGAACATTGAAACCGCACTCTCCTCTGCATATCATCCCCAGATGGATGGACAAACAGAATGATCCAATCAAGAACTGGAGATCTACCTCCGCACATTTTGCCAGAACCAACCACACAGCTGGGCAAAATACCTTACAACCGCCAAATTCTGTCACAACCAAAGACCACACTCCACAAACAACCAATCACCATTCTACCTCCTCATGGGATATGAACCCCGAGGAATCCCGACTAAACACAGATCCACGATATTCCATCAGTGGAAAAACGATTATCCGAACTGCTTAGGGCAAGGGAAAACACCCTAAAAGCACACGAACTCGCGAGAAGCAAGATGATGAAACAAAACAACGGAAAGTTCACGCGATTCTCCGAAGGACAAAAGGTGTGGTTAGAGAACACCAATGCGAGAAAAAGCTACCAAATACAAGAAGTTCAACATGAAACGCATTGGACCTTTCCACATCCAAGAAAAGATTTCCCCGGTGAACTACCGACTATCCCTGCCTCCCCATTGGAGGATACACAATGTTTTCCATGCATCCCTTCTCACGCCGTATACGGAAACCAACACTCACGGCCCAAACTTTATCCGACCACCACCTGACCTGGTCAACGAAGAAGAGGAATACGAAGTAGAAAGTATTCTTAGACACAAACCCTGGAAACGCGGGTGCCGCTACCTGATTAAATGGTGCCATTACCCTCATTCCAAAAACTCATGGGAACCGGAAGAACATTTAACCAATGCTGCAGAGATACTGGAAGCCTATAAGAAGGACCACAAGCTGCGTTGAAGAGACAATCACCCTACTACCAACAATCCTCTGTCTCTCAACACAAAAACATGTCTACTTCTAACTCCACTGGCTTCCCTATCACCACCTACTCGATACCCGGCGACGCCAACTTGCTAGCCGACGAACGAGTGTCTTTTGCCCGTGGGCAATGACACAACCAAGCCGACGTCACTGACGCCATAGAATTAATGTCATCAAAAGACGCCTATACCTATCTCTTTTATGAGACCAAAAAACGCTGCCCCCATGCGTATCACGCTCTTTCTTCCATGCATACCTTCCTTGCCATAGACCTTATAGCTGATGAACTCCTAAAAGCCATAGACTCAATACATTTGTTGGAAAGCGAGCATTTGTGGCTCAACAGTCAGGACTTGAGTATCTGTCGGGCACTCCGGATGGAAAAGTTAGTTTTGGAATCTTTGGAACGACGCTTGAGGATGAGCTCCTCGAATGGGCAGATGGACTCGGCAAAGGAATATTTGGAATCAGGCAGGAGGACATTGCTAAACAAAGCTCGCACGCAGATAGAGCGAGACGGTTGTACGAGTACTCCTCCACCCGGTTTGTCCCTCCGGTCCCTGTCGCACCCAGACCAGACCAGTGTTACCCCAGAGCGCACTTACCACATCATCACCCATCGACCTACGCCCATCCCGTCGGAGGAAGAATATATTCCCACCGCCCCAACCAGCCCGATCTCACAAGAGTCGAGCCACTCCAGTCCCCGTTCCATTGGGTCAAACCCAAAACCACCGTCTCCCCCATCATCTCCACCTCGACCAGTGCCAAACGCCCAAACCCGTCGCCTGACGAACTGACGAGGAGCCCGACGCGGCCGGCAAGAGGTGATACTCCAGATCCCCGCCGCCAGAACTCCATCAAAACGGCAGCCTCATATGTCGAAGGGACAGAAAGACAGTCCGCCTGGCGCAATGCACAGGCCTGAGACTGGCTCTCCCTCCAACCCAATCAACGTAGATGACGACACAGCCATGATCAATCAGTTGTACGCAGGAACGTATGACCTGGGAGATAACGATCCAACCACTCCCCAATCCAACACCTCATCCAACACCCGACAAAGATACCATGAAGGTGTTCGTAACAACGCTCCATACTGCCAAAACTGCGGTTGGAGCGATCATCGCACATACTATTGCGAAGCCTACTATTGCCCTGACTGTGACTGTCGCGCACCGGGACATAGTTTCAATTGGTGTCCCATCCGCAGGGAAGACGAGGATAGGATTCTGATGGAAGGATTACATGGAGACGTTAGCTACGATGACAGTTACAATATGGATGGCGAAGGTACCGAATTTTGGTGAAACTCGAAGCGAGTAAGGGGGTAATGTTACGATCTCTATTGGACATTTAAGGACTACTCATTTCTTTTTACTCATCGGTTATACCATCAGACCGATGACTCATTTCCTTCATGTATACTTCTGTTCCTCTCGCATTCACAGTACCTATTATAGTACTTAGTCCTTCCTCAACGGACAGACCTGCCCTAGATAGGACCTAACTCCTATCACCGATTCCTTTCCATTATAAATACCATGTAACAGCAGTAGTATTCTCTAATACGATTCTACGCAGTTTACACTTACAAAGCTAGACTCCTAAGATCAGACTTCTGCTCAGAAGAAGACCAACTCTCGTTGGAAGAACTCCACTCAGAACTATGTTCTCAAACTTGTCTTCGGATAAGTCTCTTTACAAACCTCGACGAACCCTCAGACTTTGTTAAGCACTTTGTGCGTAACACATTACATCCGCAGACTGATGGACAAATGGAGAGGCTCAATCAAGAATTGAAGCAATACCTCCGAATATTTATTAACAATAGACAGACGGATTGGGCCAAGTGGCTAAAGATAGCCCAGTTCTCATATAATATTAAACAGTTGTTGGCTACAGGAAAGGCACCATTCAAGGTGATGAGATCATACCTCCCCAGAATGGGTGTAGAACCTGGTAAAAGCAAGAACAAGGCTGCTGAGAACATGGTCAAAGACATGAAGTCTGTCTTGGACAAAACGCACAAGGCGCTATTTAAAACTGCAGAGCAGATGAAAGACAGGGCAGAGCGAAGACGCTCTAAGGCCCCTGACTACAAGGTCGGCGACCTGGTCTGGTTAGATACCATCCCACTTAAAGTTAAAAGATCAGCAGTCTAGAAAACTGACCCAAAAGTGGATTGGGCCTTACCGGATTAAGGAAGTCAAACCCAATGCAGTGGAGCTGGAACTCCCAAAACAAATGAGGGTAGTACCCACGGTCAATATTAGCCGTGTGAAACCCTATAAAGGGCCGCTGCTGGGACAGCGCGTAGACTGGCCCGGACCGGTTGTAGTCACCCAGGAAGGTGAAGAAGAGTTCAAAGTTGAATGAGTGGTGGATGCACGCTTGAAGCGTGATACAAGTCTCTCACGCAGTGGAGCTGGTCACACGGGCTGCACCCTCTGACATCATCAGCCACTGCCTTCATCAACTGTATAGTACATATGTACAAACAAACCTGTAGTAGTATATATACCCCAATAGATCAAGGAGACTCCTGAGCGAGTCCTCCTGTTGTATCCTCACAACTCACTTATTGAAGCCTAAAGGGTAACCACTCCCTCATCATTATCTCTATAGCTTGTCTGAGTTGTGCGCCAGAGTAACAAACTCTTGGTTGTTACAGAGAGCACCCCACGTCCTCGACACATAAGCTGACCGTAGATGCGAGGTTGAGCTGGACCTCAAGTGGGAGAGAGGGAGATGGTAAGGGAAGAAGTAGAGAGCACTCCATGCTGGCTGACTACATGATGTCTTCGCCTGTACATCAAGAGCGCAAGTCTTATCGACACCCATCATCCTCCACCCCTGATGTGTTGTGACTAGCAATGCCAGTCCCAGCATCAGTATCAGGGTCAGCATTGTCGTTGCTGCACTCACTTCCTGATGTGTTTTTGCCCCTGCATCGAGGTGTGTTGGTACATGGGAGTGGGAGTGGGAAGGAACGTGGAGAGGGAGTGTCGTCTCACAGCCTAGACAATGGGGGTACGGGCAAGATGCGGATGGACAATGTGAAAGCAGTGCTTTCAAACAACGGGAGTGTGGTGTCGAGCTCTAGTTTGCATGCCAGGTCAGAGGCGATAGCAAGTAGTTGCAGTAAGCAAAGCCAGTCGGTGGGATCGCTGGAGGTAAAGAGCAAGACAGGGTCAGAGCCGTCAATCGACATGGTGATGCCAGTGGGGGAAGAGGTGTGGATACTGTCTTGTTCACGTATGCCTGCAAGTGTGGGGATTGTGTGTGGGGCAATGACATTGGGGAGTCTGCAGATGCAACTGGGGTACGGTAACGAGATGGTGGTCTATGTATACTGGGAACGAGTCGACTGACAGTGCACAGATGGCGGGTGTGGAGGAGATGTCATTGACGGACGAGCAGAGTCTGCATGTGCGGGTGATTGGAGAAGTTGCACTTGTCTACGATGTGTTTACGCTTGAGTCACGGGAGGGATTGTATCTCGCAGACTGGGGCTCAGAGGAAAAAATGCACGGATGAGGGTGGAGGTGCATGGAAAGACACTGGACACGTTCATTCTTCCACTCAAAAAGGTGAGAGTGTTCAGACGTGAGCAGAATGGGTGGTATTACGTGGGCGCACACACGTGGTCAGTGGCCAACATCCCACCCACTCTGGCTCACCCTTGACGACAAGGTGAGTGACCGTGGGAAAGAGGGACATTGCTGACTGAGGGACAGAGTCGGAGGCTGGTCACGACCAAGCTGGAACATTGGTGTTACCAAAACACTACCGCCGTTGAGTTGGCACGCCAGATCGAGGAGGGGTCACTCGCTCAGATCTCTGTCCACATCCTCGCCGTCTCTCTACAGCAGGGCTTTTGCGACTGCCCTTGGGTTCAAGCCAAAGTCGCGTCCGTCACAAGTCACTAGCTCTGTTCAGAGCGTCCTCGCGTAGCTACGCTTAGCTACAGACTGTTTTCGCGTAGCTGCTGTACAGGCACGTCATCGCTACCCGAATGGCCTTACCTCAAACCCTACGGTATTTTTGTGGATAGAAACCCAAAAAATATTCGTGGCAAACCTGAATTTGCTGAGGCGGATATTCTTGGGAAAGCTAGTATATTGAAGTGCCGATTCAATCCCTTCATCGATGGGGACGCTCCTCCATGTGATGACCCACTAGCAGCCTTCAAACCTCGAGGTTCCTCATGTCATCCCACAGCGTCGATGACATCTCCGACAACGACAATCAGAGCCAACAGCTGTCTGGTGAAGGCCACAGCATCACTAAGACTCTTACAAGTTGCAAGACAGGATCAGTGCAGACTCTTGCGTCCCAAGGCAATCCCCCGGCTCCATCTCGCATTACTTGGTCAAATCAACGCACTGACCGCATAATGGATTGGCTCGAGAAACATCCTGTGCGACGTCAAATGCTTTTTTCTGATTCCTTATCTGTAGCTAGGGGAGAAAATCGGCCAGTTGTGAGGAACACCAAGAGCGTCAGGGTCCCAATTGTCAGAAGAATTGCTCGACATGTCTTCAAGAACGACTCAAAGGAAGAACTCCGCATTGCAGTTGACCATCACCGCAAGCAATTTGGAGAATCAGTGCAATCAAGACTCAACCAGTACGTATTTATATATTATTTTTAACAGACATAATGATATTAACATGATGAATACTTCTGAAGCCTCGGGAAAAAATATAAGGAGTGTGTGCGCACATTGTCAGGTACAGGTGCTGGATTGTCTGCTGAAGAGTTGGCTTCGTCGGGTTTTAGCAACCCTATTGGTGAGCTTTGAATCAGTTGGGATTTCGGAATGGAAGCATATAAATCTCTACATTTAGAGAAAGTGCGTGGGCAGTTCAGATGGTGGGATCGTCTGCATGCAATGTGGAAGTCATCGCCAAAGTACACATCACAACCCGAGTCGTCCCTGCCTGGCCAAAATCTCGAAAGTAGTGCTATGTCGCTGCTGTTCGGTGCAAAGGCTGATCAAGGTCCCATGGACAACGGCAACTGCCAGAGCAATGGTGACTGGAGCCTCATGGAATACGAGGATGGTAGTTTAGTTCAGACGTCACAACACAGCATGCATCACCCTACGCCTCAGCAGCAGTTCGCTAGTCAGCAGCAGCAATATTCGGCCCTCCCTCAGCAGCAGTTCGCTAGTCAGCAGCAGTATTCGGCCCTCCCTCAGCAGCAGTTCGCTAGTCAGCAGCAACAATATTCGGTCCTCCCTCAGCAGCAGTTCGCTGGCCAGCAACAATACACTGGTCAACAGCAGCAGCAGTTTACCGGCCAGCAGCAATATGCTGGTCAGCCACAGCAGCAGTTTAACGGCCAGCAGCAATATGTTGGTCAGCCGCAGCAGCAGTTTAACGGCCAGCAGCAATATGTTGGTCAGCCGCAGCAGCAGTTTAACGGCCAGCAGCAATATGTTGGTCAGCCGCAGCAGCAGTTTAACGGCCAGCAGCAATATGTTGGTCAGCCGCAGCAGCAGTTTACCGGCCAGCAGCAATATGCTGGTGTTAGCACTCAGTCTTTTGGCGGGAACCATGTATATAGGAACCCACTACCCTTTCCCGCCCATCCCTCTTTTTCTAGTGCATCATTTGACAGTTTTAACTCCTCGACTCCTTCTGTACACTCAGTTTCTTCGCTCAATTGGCCTCCCACTCTTGCACCAACCCCAAGTACACCAGCCACAATTGCTTCGCAATCTGATCATTCGCTTGTGACGGGGCCATCCACTACTTCAGTTCTTACGTCGCCATCCGCCACATCTCTTCCTGGCACGAGGTCTGTTACCGCTATTCGTCGGCAAAGTCTCCAAGCGAGCGCCAGTGCAATCCGGGGCTCTCAAGATGCTTCCTTGAGTCAGACGCCTGCGCGAGGTGAAGATGACTCCCTGAGTCAGACACCTTCACGAGCATCCAAAAAAGGCAAAGGGAAACGGGCGCGTGTTGATGATGCACCAAACAACCCAGCAGATGATGTATCACAGACTCGCCCCTCCGAAGCTGATCAGATGGCAGACTTCATGCAGCCAATCATTCAGTCTGCGAAAGAGCAAGAGACTGCAGCATTGGAGGTCAAGCGGCTGAAACTAGTTCACGGAAGCGACGTCATACGGTACAAGAGTCTCAAAGTGCAATCTAAAATAGACGAAACAAAGAAAGAAGAACAGATTGAGATCACTAGGTTGCAGGTGGAGCGGGATCTGAAGATGGAGGAGATGAGGCTGAATACACACAGGATGGAGAATGACGCAAAGAACAACATGGAGATGAAGAAATTTGAGTTGTTGGCACGCCTGGGCGTATTTGGAAACCAAGGCAGAAACCAACAAGTTAACATGTTACGTGGCCTGCTAGGATCCTCTGTTCATCTTCCCTCTCCCCCTGAGTTTGCTCCCTCGCAGATTGCAGACACATCTGGGGCTGCGCCATCACCTTCGGGTCTCACTGATATGCAGAGCCTCTTACAGACGTTAACTCCCTCTGCTGACATGAATTATGATGATGCTGATATGCCTAGTCAGTACACATCCACCTCATCCAGCCATCATCATCATCCGTCGGCCCAAAACCCATCCATTTTTCAAAGGGACTATCACAGTGGGGATGCTATTTATGAGAACGATGTATAACTTTTTGCTTGCGTGTAGATATGTCCATGTTGTTTTAGCAATGTTTATAGTGTTATATGTATGCTTACAATGTATGAATGAATGATTATACTGCATTCTCTGATTATCTATATAAGTGGCTAGCAAAAAGAGCGGCCGAAAGGGTGTCTCTCAGGTTCTCCGTTGTGGCCAGGTCTATTTCAAGGTCCTCCTGGTCCGATTCTTCCAAGTCCCCATCAGTTGACGCTTCTAAGCTATCATTTAGTTCTCTCCGCCAGTCCCTGTCTATCGTACTTTTATTTCCCTCTATTTCTATGATCATATTGTGAAGAATGAAGCAACACCGAATCCAAAGTTTGGTGTAACTGAGTCGGTGAACTGAGCTGACTTGAATTCGGAGTTCCTTCAGTGACTGGAAGCGAATTTTCAGAAGCCCGATTGCGTGCTCAGACCGAATGCGGACACGGGATAGGTAATAATTGAAGTGCCGCTGTCGGCGTGTCAGAGCCCCATTAGGCGGCTGCTTGAAGGGTGGGACGCATGTGGCTGATAGTGGATAAGCTGAGTCAGCCCAAATCCACTCCCCAGGTCCCAAGAATGATTCTGGTTGCGTTCTCAGGCCAGTGTCGAGATATGCTGAAGCATCGTGGATACTACCTGTGTGACCAACACAGTAATCGACAATTTTCAGATTATGTGGGAGAGTCACAACCTATATTACAAATAAAAATTAGAAAATGAAAAACAGTTTCTATCAAATAAAATTACCTGTGCATTAATGGAATAATTAGACTTCCTATCATAGAAAGTCTCTCCATAATGGCTAGGTTTTTGAAATAAATTGAAGGTTGTCCCATCTATGGACAAATACCCGTTTCGCCAAGCAGGACAGACCTGTCTCTCGACCCAACATTTAGCGGCTTCTTTTTCAGCGGGAGTTGGTGCCTTGATGACATCATCATGGAGGGAAATGATCGCGATCATGCACCGCTTTGTGCATAACTCAACGCCTCCCACGGAAACGCCAGACCAATCGGCAATGTCAGCCACCGAAGCCCTATTGCCATAATGGCCTAATCGGGTAAGGAATATGGCCAATTGGACCTCAACCGGAATTTGCTCATTATTTGAATTGTTGTGGTAAATAGGGTGGTGGCGTACTCGGGCAAGTATTGCGTCAAAAGTGGAGGGATATACCCTCAATTGATGTCGGAAACGGGTCTGATTGTGGTTTCTGGACCATGCCAGTAAATTAAATTGGGGCTCACGTGGTGCAGGCGGGTGCACTGTGAAAACGCGTGTTTTCTGAATTTGCTGACATAAGTGACGGTATTTAGTAATCACCAGCCTAATATGGCTAATCTTGGCGCGTCCAATACGCAGCTCTGACGGGATCCGGCTCGATATAGAAGATACCGACATTGATATATGGTCATCTGTGCTGTCAGAACTAGCCGAGCTGATGCTGTGATCAGACGGTGAGGCTGAAGAGTGGATAGAGGGGTCATCCTCGTCGTCATCATTGCTGACAGTGCGAGGACGATGGATTAGCTGGTGAAGGACCTTTTTGACAGTCCTATCTAACTGCTGGCGCCGTTGCTGGCGGATAGTCGGACGGTTTCGAGTGAGAGCTGTGGGCATGATGGGGTAGACTAGCATTTCCCAGATCTCGTTTTGATCTTATATACGAGGTAGAAGTGGTATTTTCGATGTATTTTCATTTTGTAATTCTAAACCTAGATGAAATCTACCCCGAGTTATTCCTCGGTTATCTTTACCGAACGCCAGGGGACTCGCTTCGTTAGTCTAAAAATCCTCTCTGGAGGACTTTCCCCTGGCTTCGCTTACACTCTGAACGCAGCTACTGTTCCTGAATACGATCTATTTTGAGACCGCAATCATCTTGACGTAATGAGACTAAGAATGGGTAGCAGAACAAGGAACGGTCTCTAACTTTTTCTCTTTCTTCCATCGCCATGCCTCACTCACTGCACACATTCCTTGCCATCGCTCTACTCTCTCTTTCTCTCTTCGCTCATTCAACGACCGCTCATTCCCATCTGAGACATCTCTCCCCATGGCACAGGCGCCTCAATGCCCTTCCCAATGGGCCTGGTGCCCTCTCTGCTAACTTGGTTGGCTCTCCCTCCTCTACTTCCCAGTCATCCTCCTC